TCAACCATGAGCTCCAGCTTCCTCAGTTGAAACATGTGGGTAGCAATGCTCACCTGGAAGGGCTGTTCTAAAGGCTGCTGAAGGATTGGGGTGGGAGGCAGAAGCCAAGGGTTCCTGCAGATCTGTGCCTGCATAGGCACCTGAAGCTTGTTATCTGCACTCTGAGCTTACGCTGCCTGCTCAGGTAGCTTCAGTCACTTCTCATGTGCACACTGGTGCTTTTATAATACATAAAACATGAGCTCAGCAAAATTCACCCCAGAATTCCTGAGAGCTTTGTGACACTTCCCTCCTCACACTCTGATTCCTAGATACTAAAATCTCTCCCCCGGAGGCTGCAGGTGGGCTTTCCGTGAGACTCTTCAGGTCCTCCCTTCAGCCTTCCTCCTGGAAGTGTGGGAGCTGCCAATATGGTGCCTGGGAAGCACATCTCTCCTTCCTGACCTGGGCAGGGCTGGTTAATCTCTTCCAGGCTGCCAAGGGATGGCAAGGAAGGAACCCCCTGCCCACAGAAAGGCCCCAGCAAGCTCCTCTGAGCTCCTTGAAAGCACTGGCTGTCCCCTTCCTAATCTACAATCCCAGATCCCAAGTATAGGGATTATTCCTTTTGTGATGAATGGGGCTCTCCTAGCCAACCCATAGTCCTTGTAGCAGGGACAATGTGGCTCTCAGGTGCCCACTATTATAACCCATCATCCTGCAGGAAACTCCCTTGCTCCCTGCTATTTGCACCACCTGGGAAATGAAATCCCTCCAGGCATTCTCTTGCAGTTCAGCTCTTTGGCCTCTTCAGAGGTAGAGCTTCTGGCTTCAGGTCCTACTACCCACCAATGCAGCCGGAACTATGGTTTCCCCCAGTGCCCATCCCTGTGTCTGGAGCCTTCCTGGGGCTGCTCTGTGGCTCTGCCAAGACTCAGTCATCCACTGGAACAGTAGCCTCTTTTTCCTCAGACCAGTTGCTTGGAGGACAACTTCCCCACACCTTCAGGGTTTAATATGTTTGGATGGAACTTTGGTTCTGTCATTTTAGTAATGGGTTGTTCATTGGTTTAGTCTTCTGTCGTCTTTTTTACTGGGATGTTCTTCCTGTTTGCCTTTGGTTTTTGGTAGGTGCTATTCCTCTTCTCTGTCAAGAGAACATCTTGAAGTATTATTTGTAGGACAGGTTTGGAAGAGGCATATTCTTTTTAACTTTTCTTGACTGTGGAAGACTTTTATTTTATTTTCAAAGACAAAAGAAAGCTTTGCTGGGTACATTATCTTGGGCTGATAATTTCTTTTTCTTTTAGAATCTGCAATATGTGCTCCATTCTCTTCTGACCTGCAGAGTTTCCTGTGAGAGATCTCCTGTGAATTTAATTGGCATTCCTTTACATGTCTATTGATTTTTTTTCACCTGCACATTTAAGGATCCTTTCCTTATGTTCTACTGAAGAGAGCTTGATTTTCATGTGTCTTGGTGAAGATCACTTTTGATCAAGCCTGTGGGAGTTCTCTGCCCCTCCTGGATGTTGTTTCTCAATTCTTTCTCTAGATTAGGGAAATTTTCCCTTATTATTTCATTGAATACACCTTCAATACCAGCTTCTCTTTATCTTCTGGGACTCCCACAACTCTTATATTTGGCCTTTTAATAGTATCTTTGAATTCTTGAAGACTTTTTTTTAGCTTGACACAGGTCTGCTCTAGCTTTTTGTTTGTTTCCTCCCGGTGACAGGAAATATTTCTAATTTTAAAGATCTTTCTTCTGCCTCTTTGATTCTATTTTGGAGACTCTCCATTGCACTTTTAATTTGCTCCATCGTATTCTTCATTTCTGAGATATGAGCTCTCATTTAATTCATTTTAATTGTGAAATATTCCTTAAATTTCTTCAACTCCTGTATTATGTACTTCTCATTGTTGATCAGAATCTTTAAAATGAGTTTTCTGAATTCTGTGTCCCCCATTTTCTCAATGTCTTCCTCAGTTAACTCTGAGGTTGGCAAAGGCTTTTAAAAGCTCCTTTGCAGAGGAGTCTTCAGTAGCATTAATTATGCGTTTGTCTCCTCTTTTGCTCTTGGTCATTGTACTTCTGGTTAGCAGATCCTTCCTCTTGAAGCAGGTTTCTAAGCTGTGTCACCTACAGGTTTACAATTTGATTTTACTAATTGTGTTTGGCACACGGCACTTTGTTTGCAGTCACTTGTGCCACTCCCTCCAGTGAATTCCAGGTCTGGGTTCTTAGGGTTCCACTATGGTCTCCGCAGCCCCACCTCCTGGCTCACCACTCTCCACCTCCTGTGATACTGTGCTGAGGCTGCACTGTTGTCTGTACAACCTTTCTCCCACTTTCGGTTGGAGCAGGTCCCAGGACTAAGGAGATACTAGGTGTCTTATATGACTAGATGGTTGGTGGTACTGATCTTGCTGGAACCTTTTGGCCATTAGGTCTGGGTGCCACACAGGCCTATTTTGACCCATATGATGCCAAAGTCAGTATTATTTTCCCCATGGGACTAGTGCAATTCATACACTGCTCTCTGTTTTCCCTGCGGTCCTAAAGTTTTTCCACACTGTACAAAATGGTGCCTGATATGCCACTATTACGGTTCTTGATCTGCTGGCTGTCAGGTCTGAGGGCTACCCAGACCTATCTTGGGTGGAACCTGTAGAATGCCACGTTGTTACAGTTCAGTGTGCGAGAAATGATTTTACTCCCAGTTCAGTTCATGCACAGTTCTGTCCCATAATCTTTTCTTCCCTACACAAAATGGTGCCTGATTTGGCTCAAGAAGGTGGACTGGGCTGTGAAACCTATCTTGTTTCTGTATTGCCTGTCTGGGACCTGCTGCTCTGTCTCTGCTCCTGCTCAAATCAAACAGATCAGCGGGACAGGCAGTTCTTTGTCTGGGTTCACCTCCTGAGCTCCTGGTGAATGCCCCTTCCCACCTGATTGCTGCTGGAGTTCTGTCCTCTAGTGCAGTTCAGATCGCCACTCACTGAGTGCCGCCAGGGTATTGGTCACTCAACACCACACTGTTGTGTCCACTGTTTTCCTGTGTCTGTCAGTCTCCAGATGCCCCTCTGCTGTCTTTCTGTCCTCTATTTCCTGGAATATGCCCTCTCTGCTTCACACTGGCTAATGTTTTTCTATCTGTTCAAACGTGTCCTTATCATATCCTGCCATTTTGAGTCTCCATTGCCAAGCCTCTTTATAACATAAGAGCTGGCTCCCAAGATAAAGCCCCATGCTGAATCACCAGTCCAGTCATCCTCTGTGTCAGGCTTACATATGTCTCCCTGGCCAAAGAAAGTCATATGGCCAAGCCCAGAGTTCCTGTGAGAGGGCACTGCCCAAGGGAGTAAGCACCAGTACACTGGGAATCACCAATGTAACATTAGCTGATTAGGAGGTACCGAAGGGGGCAAGTACGGAAGGTTGGGTAGCAGGTGCGTATAGCCTTATCATAGGGAAGAGAAATGCCCTGAAGCAAATAGGGAAGTGGGTATAACTCCCCATCCCAGCTTTTAGGAAGGAAGGGATTGTGTGTGAGATAAGCCGAAAAAGCCCAGCACATAAAGGCCCTTGCACTGTTCCAGCCTCCCTCCTTTGAAAACAGGAGTGAAGATAGAAAGCTTTTTTTCCCCTTCTTCACATAATGGCACTGAAAGCATCCCTTTCACTCCCATTAGATATCGAACAGCTCCCTAAAGGTCACACTATGTTTTGTGAAATGTTTTGACATTTGCCAATCTAATGGGTGACAAATAATGTTTTGGCGTAGTTTTACCATCACAATTCTCTTATTGTGGGCAGGGTAAGCAATCCCCGCCCCCCATGTTTAAACTTATTTATGAAGACGGGAATTAAGCCCAGGAGTTATGACGCTAGCTGAGGTTCCGCACTGCACAGTGGAGCACCTGGTTCCTCACCACGTTCTGGTTCCTGCAGCAGACAACGGTTCAAATCAGTGGATCCCTGTCACTCACATAAGACACCGAACTGATTGGAAGCTCCTGGCCTTGGCTCGGTCCAGGCCTCGCTGCTGTGGGTGCTTGAGGCGTGAACCAGCCTGCTAACGGGTCTCTGTGCTTTGCTTCCCGAGCACATTTAAAAGCTGTTAAAAATCACCTATATTTCCTTTTCTGCAAATGATTCCATATCGTCCTGCATATTTTTCTACTGCACCATGAAGCGTTTTTATTTCTTTGTTGTGTTATTAATTCTTTATATGTTTAAGACATTGTGATGTGATCAAATACATTTTCAGTTTTAATTTGTCTTTGTATCTTACATGTTGTAGTTTTGCCTATACAGATCCTTAAAAATGCTTCTGTGGATGAATTTTGCAGTTTTTCTTTTATGGATTTTGAAGTTTACATGATATTTAGGCCTTTAGAGGCTGAGGTGACCAAAAAAATCTCTCATTTTTTCTTCTGATGTCAGTTCTACATTTAAAACTGTTATTCATTCCAATTTTCTTTTTATATAGATGTTGCATGGATAAAATATTTCTTTTCTGGATATTATCATTTATCACAATATCATTTTTAGACAGTTCATTTGTCTCTTACTTGAAGAGACCTGAGTGGGGGTCCGGTGCAGTAGCCTAGCGGTTTAAGATCCTCGCCTTGCATGCTCTGGGATCCCATATGGGAACCAGTTTGTGTCTCAGCAGCCCCACTTCCCATCCAGCTCCCTGCTTGTGGCATGGGAAAGCAGTAAAAGATGGCCCAAAGCCTTGGGACTCTGCAACCGTGTGAAAGACCCTAAAGAAGATCCTAGCTCCTGGCTTGAGATCAGCTCAGCTCTGGCCATTGCAGCCGTTTGAGGAATGAACCAGCAGACAGAAGATCTTCCTCTCTGACTCTTCTCCTCTTTGTATATCTGCTTTTCCAATGAAAAGGAATGTATCTTTTTTTTTTTTTTAAAGAAGGCCTGAGTGATTAGAGGTTTTTTTGAACTTTCTTATCTTTCGTTGACTTGTCATTCCAGTCATATGCCGTCTCACAGTGTTTAGAAGATCATAGCGTTCTGACATGTTTGTGTCATCCTTGTGCAGGGGCCATGCTGAGCTTTGTATCAGCCCAATTTTAGTATACGTGCTGCTGAAACAAGCAGTATAATACGTTTGAATACATACAAAGGCTGGTGCTGCCTTCACCGTAATTTCCTGGCTCTTTTATTTGTACTCCCCCCCCACAACATCAAAATGACAGAGTAATACCTTAATGCATTCATAAATTCATAGGCTGAGGAGAACTTTTATGATTTGAGTGTTGCCAAGACCATGCTAAATGCCTTTCTGTTTTTTCAAGTTTTCAGTGTGTGTGTGTGTGTTTCTACATTTATCGTTGACTTTTATCGCCAGCTATGTTGCTTTATTTCCGTGAACTCTTTGCTAATTAAGATCTTTTATCATGCCTTCGTGTGGGCTGTTGTGCCTACATGAAGGCCCTTAGGTTCTGTGTCGTTGTTTTGCCTCCAGCCAATTTACATAGCCTCTTACAGGTTGTAGGACAGTTTGGGTGGTGTGGTCTGTGTTGGATCCTTCTGGGTTTCCCATATGAAAAGAGTCATAGCTTTATCTCCTTCATTCCAATGTTTCTAATATGTTTTCCTACATCTAGTTTCACTGGTTAGTGTTTCTAGGCTGGTAGAAGTGCTGGGTCTAATGGACAGCTTCCCTGCATTTCCACTGTTAAAGGATATGTTTCTCTTAATTTGAAGTTCACAAGCAGGTCAGAGAGAGAAGGGAAAGAAAGAAAGAAAGAAAAAGATGCAATCTGTGGTAATAAAAGTGAACACATGGTCACTTAGAATACTCTGTATCTGGGTGGAGATTATGACATATGTAATAGTGAGTCCATACACATTGACAGGTAGAAAATTTTGCACTTCACCTCTCTGCTGTATAAGTGACACTAGTACATAAAAATAGAAAAAGAATATTGTTGAATTCTGTCACATGCCTATTTGGTAGCTGTGATATAATATTGTTTTTCTTCATACATCTGTTGATATTCTGACTGCATTAATGGCTTTCCTAACACTGAAATTTCTTTGCATTACTGGAAAAAAATCTAACTGATGTTTTTTACTTTGTTTAGGATTTTTGCAATGATATTGTTACAGATGCATATCCTCCCTAAAGTTATGTGTTGAAATTCTAATTTCATGCATTGCACTTGATTTTATATACATTTTTTTGATTGATGATGATTTTAATTTTAGTTATCCATTTCTAGTTTTAGTGCAGTATAAACAGATAATGAATTTCATTGTATTTTACTTTGTGTTTTAAATAAATACACTCCACTTTGAGGTTCAATGTTCTAAATATAGAAACTACTTATTAAGTTATTCTGAGCATCTGTAAACTTAATTTTTTATCCACTCAATCTTTGATTGCAGAGTTGAAGCCAGCCTTTTACTACTAATGTGAATTTTCCCATTTCTTTGGAAGCAGTTTTGCTTTGGAAACATGGACACTGTGCTGCTATTCATGCATAGCTTTTTAGGACTTGTAAAATTCCTTCCAGTTTGTACATTTCGGCACCATATATCTCTGTCAGGGCTGCTTCTGCAAAACAACCTTTTGCTAGCCAAATTCTGACCAGCTGACCATTGTCTAGCCTCTTAATCTCAACCTTCCTAAATCTCTTTCCTTGAGCTGTGGATTCTATGTTTAGCATAGTTGGTTGGACTTTGTGATGCATTCTGAAGTTTTGGTAAGGAAATTCAGCTCATTAACATGCATTAAATGACATGTACATTGGATTATATTTGGGTCTCTGTTTTATGTGATGCTTTCTGTTTCAGAGTATTTTTTTAAGATTTGTTTTTTATTTGAAAGCCAGACTGTTTCAGAGAGAAGGAGAGAGAGACAGAGAGACAGACAGACACAGAGAGAGAGAGAGACAAAGAGAGAGAGAGAGAATCTTCCATCTGCTGGCTCAATGGCAATGGCCAGGAGGAAGGATTTCCCTCTGAGTTTCCCACACAGAAGCAGTGATATCTTGAGTCATCCTCGACTGCTTTCCCAGGCTGTAAGAAGGGCGCTGGATCCAAAGTGGAGCAGTCAGGACATGAACTGGCATCCATATGGGATGCTGGCCCCACAGGGCAGGAGATTAGTCTGTTAAGCCACACTGGTCCCTCTGTGAATTTCAAGAAACTTTCTCTATGGTGACTGCTCCTCCTCTTTGGGTGGGACCACATTGGAAGGGTACCATTTTTCTGGCAGTTGTCTTCACAACCAACATTACATTATAGTGTTAAATCCCTGTTTCGGCAGGTCTTGATTCAGGTAATTCTCTATATCATCATGTATCTCAGTTTCTGCAGATAGCAGGGAGTCATTCCCCTCATTTCTTGGTTCAGTGCTTTTGTCACATGAATTGCCTCATTACTTTCTTTTGTAAAACACATGGTGAAATATTTAGTCACCAGTGACTATGCACTGTGCAAGCATTTTTCTCTCGATTCTCTGACTTGTTATCTTGCCTTTTTTCCATAGATACTATTCCTTTGCATAGACTGACTTCCCATGGGGAGGAACTTCTGCCCTTGGTGTGTAGGCAGAGAGCTGGACCACCTTCCAAGCTACTAGAATTTACTTATTGTCGACCATGCTTGCACATGTGTATGTTTAGTGGGGAGTAGATTATTGGCTGTAGGTGAATGGCTTACATTTTATTTCTCTGTAGCAGGTGAGTGCACTGTGGGTAACTGTGTGGGAGTCACAAGGCAAAGTTTCTCTCCTCCCCAGTGTCACTTACAAATACGGCTTGACTGTGGGACTCCTGGCCTTGGCCATTCTCATGGCTTGTGGGATTAGGCTCAGGAAATCTGTTACCAACCTTTCACTCCTGCTCTGGCTTTTGCAATCACAGTGCACAGGTTTTGCATGTCTAAAGGAACTTATCTTCCAGAACATACTCTGAAAGTTCTTTCTGTGTTCTGCAACTAGGGCCTTCTCTCTGGACTCTTTCCAAACTGGATCTTTGTTATTTTGATGTTGTTTCCATTTACTTGCTGTTCCAAGTCTCTGATCTCTCCTATTTTGTGAAGATGAATAAAGAGCTCTTGCCTCTCCTTTGCCTCCTGGCTCTGAGGTTGCTTGCAAGAGAAGAAGGAAGAAATAACCACCTCTATGTGGTTCTGGCCAGCTCAGAGTTGGAGCTGATGCCTTTAACATGACAACTGCGTTAGGGGTCGGGGATGGAGCAAAGGTTCCTAGGGAGCCCTCCAAGATGTCAGGAAGACCTGAATCCTCGCAGGTAGGGTGAGAATGGTTCCACTTGCAGGTAGGTGCTTGGCCCAAAGGCCCATGTGCCAGGAAGAAAGCTGAGCATGCAGAGGCAGCTGACACTGTTTCTTAGTGTGGCAAGGACCCCCACGATCCTGCTCAGGACTCAGAGATGACAAGAGTGATCCCAAAACATTTACAACTGGGGAAACCAAGGAATAGAGGGAGCAGGGAAGGGATGTCCCAGCAAGCCAGCTTCCTGACCTCTGGCCTCACCTTGTCAGGGGTGGGGAATGTCCAGCCCATGGGCTATAAAAGGCCCATGAAATCATTTGCTCTGGCCCTGCCAAAGCGACCACAGGTGAGACTCAAAATTCAATACATCTATAGTAGCCTATTTTTTAGGTTGATAATTTTTTTTAATGACTGGAAGTGATGTTATAAATACTCAAATGGCCCCCAGTAGGAGAGTTTCCTCACTTCTGCATGCCACAGAGCCTTAGATACAGATGTGGGAAATCATGAAGTACTGGTCACCCACAGTCTCCCTGCCTCTTTCCCTTACCTGAAAGTTCACTTGTCTTGCCTTTATGATTGCCAATCAACCTCTTATTAAAATTAAAGGGTGAGTGCAGAACTGCAAGGTCCCTATTCACTGGACTTCTGAAATAATTTATCTCTCTTAGACAATATCCTGATGTTTGGTTATGTCCTGCAGTGTGTGTTTTCTGGAAATCCCAGGCCTAGAGCAAAAAGTAACAACCACCTGTGTGTAGCCAGCATTCTGACTGGAGCCTATCATCATCCAAGATCCCTTAAGGTCCCCCACCACAAGAGGGCCATGGTCACTGCTGACCAGCTAAGCATGCACTTTTCAGCTATAACTCAACACTTGGGAAGTGCAGGAATTAAATGATGGCTTCTTGGCTTTGCTTTGCGATAAGCACCCTCTTTTTCACCATGCAGGTGGTTGCTTGCTGGGCATCAGGTGAGCAGATCCAGGTCTGGGGATCTGTATCAACCCCTGGAACCATGTTTAAGGATGTTCTGTAACATCCTCCTTACTGTTCTGTCACACATCATTCTACAAGCCTCTGACTCCAGAAAGAGCACTTGCCGGGTTCTGCATGCTCTGCTTCTTGGGCTGAGCAGTGCTGTTCCCTGCGCGTGGCCTTCTGCTCTGCCAGCTTTTTTTCTAACCCCAGCCTCTACCACACAAGGAGGTCAGCCCTTCTTGACCTTCCTCATTCCCTTCTGCCCTTGCCTAGTTCAGTAACCTACCTCCAGCTGCCTGTTCAACCTTACCTAGCCCATTATTTCAAAAACTGCTGTGCTTGTTCCTTTGCTCTGACCCCTCTCTAGACTTAGAACTCTGTCCCTTACTTTTCTTATCCCTTTGGTGCCTCATTTTACACAGACCTTGGCTCAAATTCAACTGCTGAAAGAGAATGTTTCCAGCAACCCTGTATAAATGTAGCCTGCTTGATTGCCCTGAACTAATTTATTTTCTTTCATAGAAAATTATTTTACAGATATACCGGTTTGTTAATTGTCTACCTTCCTCACTGGAATACAAACTTCATGAGAGCAAGGACTTTATTTGGTTTCTATGCCACTATATTCTTAGCAAAGAGAACAATGAGGGAGGAATATGAAGAAGGAAGGGAGGGAAAGGGGAATGGATCTTTGTACTCATGTCTCACTTGGAATTAGTTCACTTCAAACAATCACATCGTGGAGAGTGGTGCATCCCATTGCCTTGCCCAAAGGCTGGGTCAGGTTCCCTATCTACTGAATTGAAGTAAACCCAGTCTCTGCTCTCAGTTGGATCTCAGAGTGGGGGAGTTATATGCAGGATGCTTGGGAAGAG